AGGGACACATTGGGTTATGTTGGCACTGCATGTTGATGCATTGTGTGTTGACTCGTGCTGGGCAGAACTTCTCTCACTCAGCTGTGGCTGCCATCTCTGTGACAAGGAAGCAATGAAACTCAACTGGAACTCTTTACGAGAAGAATAAGATTTGAGCCATGAACGGTTTCTGCTGTTATCATGATTGCAAATTCATTCTAGGTCTGCAAGAACCCAAATGATTTCAGCCAGAAACTGCTCAAAAGATATCAGCCTGTGGAATGACCCTCTTCCCACTGCGTTCCTAAAAAAAGTTCAAGTTCTTATTCTGTATTACAAGGTGAACATTACATTAGTAGACTATGGGAGCCAAGTGATGTAGATTTCATGTAATAGAAAGTTAACTGAAACTAGAAAGGAAAGCAGGTGAAAGGGGAGAGTGAGGGGCCAGGAATCCACATGCCAGCCAATCGGTACGCAGTAGAAATGTTGATTTTCTCTTGAATTTGTATTTCTTGTAAACTGTCCTCATGAGTGCAGATGAGAAGCTTTAACAAAAAATTTATTTTTCAATCAATAATCAAGTTCTGTACCACCAAACAATTAACAAAAACAAGTCACTGAGGATCATCTTACACTCATTTACGTGTGACTACTTGTGTAGATTTAGGAAGGTTTATGATGTAAATTGTTCTGCCCATGGCAGAAAAGGGGAATCAAAGATTAACTGGTCAAGGGAACAATGATCATTATGGAAATGCAACTGGTGTTGGCCTTACAAGTTGTCAGTGACTGCCCTCATTAAAAGTGACTGAATGTACCACTCTGTTACCAGCTTTTGTGCTTTGGTTGAGATCCTCACCTACAGATCCTTAGCTGATGGAGCCTGATATGTAGGATAAACCTCCTAAGTTAGGGTACAGTGTGCTTACTGGGAACTTCAGAGCCTGCATCACTTACACACAGATGGTATCAGTCCACACATGCTCAAAGACAGGGTTAGTAACAAATCCAATCAAGGCCTCATACCAAAAATTCAATGAGATCATTAATACAGCAACAACATTAATAACAAAAACAAAGACAAGCTCAGAAGGAATGCATATCTCGACAGACACAGCTAGTGCACACCCATACTGACTCACGGCGCGTACACACGACGCCCACACTGACTCACGGCGA